GCGTGGGTGGGTCGCCCACCGTTCTCTGGCGCTGCTTGTCCTCCAGGCGCGGCGCCTTGGGGTCAGTGACCATGCGGCGCAGCTTGCCTGGTGAATCCTTCCACGCCTGCTTCGCCCAGTCGAGATATCGTTTCCGCGCTCTGCCTGCAGCTCTCGCCATGGCATTGTGGGTCCACTCCATGGTGGTGGCGCTGATGCGGTGCAAGTCAGCCACGTCGCAGTACTCGAGGGTGACGGGCTGGGTCCTCCACTCTTCGATCTCCGGCGGGTCGGTTTTCTTACCGAAGTGCTCCTTGGAGAACTCAGGGTTCTCTAGGTCGTCCAGCTTTTTCATGACTGTCTTGTGGATGTGCTGGCGGGCTTCGGGGCCCTTGCCGTTGGTGACCAGCGCGGCGTACCTCGCCACGAGGGTGCTGAGGTGCTGCCGCCATGTAGCCTCGGGGTCCTTGAGGTGCGCTCTGCCAGGCGACGCCTTCATCGTCTGCTTGGTGGTCCTGTACCCCTCTGCCCTGCCCTGGTACCTGGCCCTGTCCTCGACGGGAACCGCGTGCGTCTCCAGGAAGGCGAGCTCCAGGGTCGCGATCCACTGCGCATACTTCGAGTTGATGTTCTCCGCGAGGATCGGCGCATGGTTGTGGAAGATGTGTCCTCTGCCCTCCTTGGTGCCGACCTTTGCGCCATCGAACTTCGGGAAGTTGCTGACCTCGTCGGCGGCTGCGTCCCAGTTCTGCTGGGGGGGGGACGAAGGGGATGGGGACCCCCTTGGCCGTCTCGCGGTTGATGTAGAGGGCGTCGAACTCGTCGCGCAAGTGCTCTGGTAGCCTTTCCCTCCTGGTTCGCAACGCCCCCGCGCGAGCCTTGGACCTTGTGCTGCTCGGGTCCGCGACCTTCCTGGGTCTGGCTCGTGCGGGGAGAGCTCTGGGAATCTCTATAGCTTTGTACTGCCACGGCTCGGCGGTGCCCACCGTGATCTTGATGCCGCAGTGGGTCTTCCAGGGGGCGTCGTAGATGGCCTCGATCCCGACGTGCGTGGCGATGTCCGCCCGTGCGATCGCGTAATCGCACACGGAGCCCGAGCCCTTGTCGCACGTCGCCTCGCAGCTCGGGTCGGTGAGGATGGTGCCGTTCCATCGCGTGAGCCACGGCTTGTTGTCCCACCAGTGCGGCTCGTAGTTCCCGTCGGCCAGGATGATCCACGGGTCCATGAGCATGTCCACGAAGGTGGAGATGGAGACCAGGCTGTCCCTGTTCGCGCCTTCGCCCCGTAGGCCAGGGCGCAGGTACGCCGCTAGGACGACTATGTTGCCGCTCTTGGAGTGGAGGACTGTCGGCGTGAAGCCCACGAATGGCTGCCTCTTGTGGCGCTTGACGTAGTAGTCCCTGTAGCCCTCGAACGTGGTCGCCGCCGCGTCCCTGCGCGTGAGGATCCACTCGCCGCCATGGGTCCCATTGTCCGATCTGTTGGTGGCCACCGCGGGCGTGGCCGACAGCTTCCAGCCGTCCATGGCGAGCTTGCCAATCTGCTCCGTGAGGCCGTTCGCGTCGACGTGCGTCTCCGCCAGCGCTATAAGGTGGTACTTGAAGCCTGCGTTGCGACAGAAGTTGGCGGCCTGCGGGCCCCGCGCCGTTATGTTGCCGAACAGGATCTGCGCTGCCTGCTCGGGCTTAGGGGCGGGTGCACCTGCCGTGGGGGACCCCCTGGCGCGGTTCCCAGGCCCCCTCGGCCGCTGCGGCCGCTTGCGGCTACCCAAGCGACGGTGGGGCTCCTGCCGCTGCCGCTGGCGCCCTTGCCCAAGCCCTTAGCTGCGAGGGCCAGCTCCCTGGCCCTGGTGGTGGCGGCGATGAGCTCGGCGGCGGCCTTGAGGTCCTCCGCGGAGGGCTCGTCGGCGGCAGGGGCGGCTGCAGCGGGTCCAGGGGCCCCTCCAGGCTGGCGTGGCTCAGCAGGTGGGGCGGCAGCGCCGCCTGGCGTGCCAGGTTGTACCTGTCCTCCAGGTGCGGCCGCTGGCTGCTGTTCCTCTGTTGAAGCGGGAGCAGGCTCAGGATGAGGTTGCTGAGCAGCTGGTTCCTCCCCACTCGGCTTCTTCCGCTTCGCCGGGTTGGTGGTGGACTCCTTGGCTTGGCGTAGGAGTTCGCGTACTTTTTCTCGGCCATTGTTGAGCTCGGCCAGGCGCTGGTCGAGCTCTTGCTTCCACTGCTCCATCTGGGCGCGGGTGCCCTCGTCGCAGATGGAGAGGTCATCCCACATAGAGCTGTCGACCTTGAAGGATTCCTGAGGCCCCACTGGTGGTGCTCCGCGTGCAGCTCCAGCAAGCTTGGCGCTGTGGTCCGCTTGCGCCTTGGCGCATGCGTTCTGTGCCTGGACGAGGTCCAGGGCGGCTTGCTCTTGTTTGGCCACGGCGTCGTCGTGCCACTGCTTGGCGGCCTCGACGTCGTCGACCGACTGCTTGAACTTCTTCTCCCTGTCTGTGAGGACTGACAGCGCCGACTGGAGCACCTGCTCTGCTGTGCGGGCAGGCTGCGGCTTGTCGGGCTGCTGGAGGGCGTCCTTGATGTTGCCGACGAGTTCGGCGTGCTTGGTGTCGCTGAGGAACGTGCTGAGCGTGGCGAGGATGGCGTCCCTAGTCGGGGCGACGGCCACTGGCTGCTCCTTCTACGGCGGTGGCTTGCTGACTCCTGCCCACGCCCCTGTGGGCTGGCGGTGTTCGGCAGGTGATGGGGCCAGCTGCTTGCTACAGTAGAAGCACTCGGACTTTCCCTTCCACGTCCATCGGTATCGGCACTGCTTGCAGACCGTGTACTGGCTTGCGAACCTTGCTGGCGAGCCTCGTCCGCCTTCAGGGCGTGCACGTCGCGGCCTGGTGCCGCCATTGGCGGCAGCTCCACCGTCGGCAGGGGCGGTCCCTCCACCGCGGACTGCGGCGGCCATCGTCCCACTGTTTCCCAGGGAGCTGTCGCGAGCCACGCAAGGGAGGAATATGGACTGGGCGGCAACTCGCCCCTGAGTGTAGCTGCGGTGGGCGGCAGCTCGCCCGTGAGTGTGGCTGCAGATACGAAGAGCACTGAAAGCTGTGGGAGCCTACCCCAGATCGGCAGTGAAATGGACACCATTTTGGCCTTGAGCCAAAATGGCTACGGAGGAGGGAGGAGGGAGGAGGGAGGAGGGAGGAGGGGAGGAGGAGGGGAGGAGGAGGAGGAGGAGGAGGAGGAGGAGGAGGAAGGAGGGGGAGAGGAGGGAGGAGGAGGAGGAGGAGGAGGAGGAGAGGAGGAGGAGGAGGAGGAGGAGGAGGAGGAGGAGGAGGAGGAGGAGGAGGGGGGGGGAGGAGGAGGGAGGAGGGGGAGGAGGAGGGAGGAGGGGGAGGAGGGGGAGGAGGAGGAGGAGGAGGAGGAGGAGGAGGAGGAGGAGGAGGAGGGGGAGGAGGAGGGACGCAAATCATGGCCGGCAGCATGTGCGCGGCCCAGGGGGGGGGGCAAGGACTTAATGAAACAAGAAGAGGCGCCGTGAAATCTGAGGAAAGATCATGGCCCACGCCATGATATCCCCCCCCTGGCCCTCACCCCCCTCCTAGCCGCCCCCGACCTCTGCAGAGAGCATCGCTTCAGCCCTGACCTGGTTGCCGGAAGTGTCCTTCCCTCGGATTGCTTCTTAGGGCTGCTGCTTCCCAGGGTTGCGGGGTTCACCACCAGGGGGGTCGCCACCTTCCTCGAGGAAAAACAATACTTCCTCGGGGAAAAACGCGACTCCCTCGAGGACAAACGCGGGGGGGTACTGAATGCTCCCCAGGGCTGCTTCCGACGGCCTCCCGCAGAGATGAAGTGGCCCTGGGACACACAAATATATCGACACATATACCAGGATTCCCACTATGTTCCAATACCTTCCAATATTTTCTGGAGTTTCGTCGTCCCCCCCACTTCCCAGATTTTCCCCTATTGTCCGGGGGATCGACGACTTCGTGTCTGTGTGTTTTTGTTCCCCTCCTGACGAGAGCCCGCCGCGCCGAGGGCGAGGCCCTCTCTGAAGACCCTGCCGGCTGCACGCGGCAGGCACCCCCGGGCAAGAGCGGCCCGTGGTGCGCGGCTCGCCGACCGCTGGCGTGCGATGCGACGGCAGCGGCCTGCGCGCCGGAGCTCGGCCCCTCGGCGCCCCCCATCGGTCGGGGGCGCGCAGGCAGGGATCAGCGATCCATGGATTTGGCGCGCGGTCGCCGGATCCATGGATCGGGGGATGTACCATGCCCACAGTGCGGCCGGTGCCGCCTCGCTCGGCGGCGACAATCCGCGATTGCCCATTGAAACGGACCCCGTCGCTCATCCACGCCCCCTTAATCAACGTTTGCGATCGCCCCTCGGCGCCCCCCATCGGCGGCGAGCGAGGGGGGAAGTGTTAGGTCGGGCGTGTTCCCCCATACAGGGGGATCTTGGACGAAAAATTAGAAGTGCTCAAAACGTACCCCCAAAATGACATGGTTTAAAAATCGTCCCCAGACTATTTTTCATTATTTCTGAATACTCCTCCTGTAGAGGGACAGGCCCGACTTAAGGGAAGTGAGACGGGGCGGGCCTTCTCAGAAGGCTCGGAAGTCCCCCGGCCGAGAAGTCTCCCAAGCCTTCCCCGAAGGCGCAGAGAATCTCTCCAAAGGCGCGAGGGCCCCTGAGAAGTCCCGCCGCCTTCTGAGAGGGCCCTGTCCTTCTCGCTTCCCCCCTCGCTCGCCGCCGTCACCAGAACGCCGCGCTCAAAAGGTTACTCTGGCGACGGGCCGCTCTCGCATGCTGCCCGAGCCCCGGCCCCCTGGTGGCGTGCAGGAGCGGGCCCGGGACGGGAGGGCCGGAGCAGGGCGGCGATCGTGCGCCACGGCCCAGCGCGCTCCCATTTGTTCGTCCTCCTCCTCCTGCTCCTGCTCCTGCTCCTGCTCCTGCTCCTGCTCCTGCTCCTGCTCCTCCTCCTCCTCCTCCTCCTCCTCCTCAGCGGTCGAGGAGGAGTAGCGCGCGCGCGCACTTTTCCTCTTTTCTTCTGCTCTGCCCCGCTCGGCCACTCGTCTGTTGTCCCGATCGCGATTGGCCCGGTGGCTGTGCCGGGCTCAACATGGGCAGCACGACTCCCGCTCGTGCTGAGGGCAAACCCGACGCCCTGCGCTGCATGTACACACAGCCGCTGTGACAGAGGAGGGAGCGAGAGAGGCCGAGAGCAAGGTGCTCGCTTTTTTCGCAGGTTGCGACGCCCGAGCCCTGCCCCCACCAACAATCGATTCTCCTGAATCGATGGGAGGAGGGGGTGGGGTTCTGATTTGGCCGCGCGTCGACGAACTCCGAATCCTACCCCTCCCTCGCCCATCGAATTGTCTGAATCGTTGATCGGCGAGGGCAGGGCGCGGATTCCGCCGCCGAAGATCGGGGAGACGTAAGACCCGGGTACGGGGGACTCGGAAATCCCCGACGAGGTCGTCAAAAAAATGACGAGGCCGAGCCTGCATTTTGACGAGGCCTCCCGCTGCAGACATCCCACGAAACTTCTCCTCGTCAAAATCCGAGTCGCGGTCGTCAAAAAACGATGGCGAACCCGAGTCCCGGCAAACCCGGGTCTTACGCTCCCCCGAGAAGAGGAGGGAGCGAGAGAGGCCGAGTGCAAGGTGATCGTGCTGATGGACGCGGCCGAAGCTCAGATGCAGCTGGGAGACATCGACGAGGGCGCGGACTGTGGCGGCGGTGCCCAGGACCCGAGCCCAGCCCCTGAGCACGAGGCTTCGACTGGCTGCCCGAGGTGATCCGAGCAAGCGGCACCGCGACGCTCCCGAACGAATCACCCAGCTCGTGGGCCCGGGCCGGCCAGGACGTCACCCGAAACTGTGCGCGTCGCAGAGGCTCCGACACAAGATGGAGAGCCCCTGGAGGGGGGCCCCTCTCCTGGCCCCCTCCCTGTGCGACCAGGAGAACGGCCAGCGCCCCCGACGACCAGCTTCACTGCCAGGAGACTGGCAGCGATGCTCGCTCCCCTGCGAAGCAGCGCCGCGCTCCCAGAAACTTGGGCCCCTCTGCAGCCTCGCTGGGTCGTGGAAGCAAGAGCTGCACACGAGGAGAAAGGGGGGGAGGTGCTGCTCCGTGCGGCACCTTCGCGACTCGCCGTGCCGAGCGGGCTGCAGAGCTCACGCCTGCCTTTTTCCGTGGGCGGGCGGCGGTGCCGCGCGCGCCCGACGCCCGTCGGAAGGCTGTCCTCGGTCCAGAGGTCTCCCTGCGGCCCGGAGGCTGGACAGCCCCCCAGGTCGTCATCTTGAGCCAAAATGGCTACGGGGAGGAGG